CCAACGTGGTAGGGCCACAACGACGGAGTTCTGTGGGCTATACCCATCGTGTTAAGCCATCAATGATGCCCATCATAAGATTCACTCACGCGAAGGAGCACTGTGTTGGGGTTAACGCCAGCCGCGGTCGCTTTTGCGATGATCTTGTCGACGAACTTGTTCGTGTTGAACTCTGGCACATCTTCCACGAGATAGGGCTGTAGTCTAATGAAATGGATGTCCGCGATTCCTATCGCTCCATCCGCAACTACCCTATCCCAGCCATGAAGCGGGAACCTGGCAAATAAGTTCAGGATGACTCGACGAATCCAGGCGTCAACTTCTTGCTACTACAACAACCCCCATGATTCACGCGACGAAATTACCCAAATCCGCAGCCAAAGTTGAGCTCCTTGATGGTCTCCAAGGCTTCCTTTACGGTATAGTTGCCTCTGTAGTCAGGATAGCTCAGTAAGAAGCCATGGACGGGGAAGTGCTTCGTGAAGTTGTTCATGCTCTTGACGAACAGGGCCTTGTCGAAAACGACGTCTTCGTACAGATCCAGGTCGGCGTATATTTTCCCTCCTTTAGCGTCTACTCGCTTCCTCAGTGCTGCGAATCCGGTTTCGCTCCAAGGCGGGAAGAAGGGGGGACCCCTCCTAATCTCGCTATCGACGATGTAGTTCCCACCAAGGACGAAGTTTTTCACGCCGGCATCCATCAGCTGATCGAAGTAATTTTCCCAGTCATAGTGGGTGTCCCTGCAATGCAACTGGAAACATCCCAGCTGGTCTTCGGGTAGAACCCACGGGAATTGAACACCTTTGTAGAACCATCTTAGCTCACCAGGTGAGGTCGTAGTTAGCTCGGCCATCGCACGGAGGGTACAGAGATACATGAGCAGTATCATCATAGTTCAGATTGAGACAAGGATACAAGGTAACGCCCAACATCCGCGGTGTCACAGATGTCACTTGACATCTTGAAGATCCTTAAAATCGATTCTTGCGCCATCAGTCGGTTGGCTGCGCAGGCGTGCCGACCTGTTGCACGTTTCCGTGGCATAGAGAGGCCGGGTCCCAGAAGGGTGAGCACAGGGCATCAAGAGCGTGCCCGCCTTCTGCCTTCCGAATAACCAGTGATATCTGTGAGGATTCACGTGCGAGCTAATAGCTACGCTCTGGTCGGCCGTCCTTAAGGCCCGCCCTTCCCTTGCTTGTGGATTCACGTGAGACTCCCACGTGAGTACGTGAGTTCGTCCGTAGTGGAACGCATGGTACTTCACGCACTGCGTGCACGATTAGGTCCAGGGAAGGTATTTCGACGAGTACTACGCCTAACAAAAGGCGATGAGTAAATCTTGCGGAAGATTTTGTTTCGACTTTTCGAAGTCTTGGAAAAGGTAATGCGTTGAAATGCACAGAGGCGTGTAAGCGCCTTATGCAAGATTTCATTTTCTGCTAGCGTAAGATCACGCGAGACCCGTGACGGTGACTCACTCTTTGTCCAAAGCGGCCAAATATCAAATTGTTCCAGACACCCAGCACAACCGTTCTGGACACCAACTCTGAGATTATCGCAGTGCGATAGCCACGGCGGCGACGTGGCTTGCTTCACATGTACGCACGCACATAGTTGAGTCTCGCAGCAGACTGCTTTGGGTCTTCCATCGACACTTTTGTGCGCCTTCTTTTGAGTCTGTAATGGGGGTCGATAGCAGTACTCAGGAGAGAGGGGCTCCAAGCTCCTCTCGTTTCAAAACCCAGGTTCTCATCCTCCCAAAGGCGGTTCAGAGAGCTTGTGATCTCAGATGGCCTCGGGTTTGCGAGAGCCCAATCCTGCTGAGGGTGTTTAAACCGGCGAATAAAATGTCCCGCCGATGGATAGAAGCTAAAATAGACCAATGTCTAGGGAAGGAGGGGTTCAGTCTAGTAAATCATCCAGGTAAACTCGACCTGAGAGATTTGAAACCATTACCGAACTTGACATAGACTCGTATGATACGAGGTTCCAAGATAATCCCGGATTCCATTCTGGTTTCCGATGCTTCTTAAGATTCATAGGGAGCTTGCCACCGATGAAACGAGTCATCAATTTCAACTCACTACGATCGGAGGGGATCCCTCCGAGGGATGTACCTCACCATAGAGAGAACATAGATACCCTTAACCTTCCGCGAAAAGGAATCACACAAGCACGTGCCTTCAAATCGCAAGTGTGCAAGATGTCACTGGTATTCCTCCTTCAGTGGTAGCCAAGTGCAGAATTGCTTGGTGAGAGAATCTACCAATGGCGGCCACCTATGAGGATTATTGTCAACCTCCCCAAGGGCAGCTCCCTCAAGCTTGTTCTCCTCGAGCTTGTTCTCCTTCACCACTAAAAAGTCAGTGGTGATGGTACACTCAAGGGTCTTCACCGGGACAAAGAGTTCCTTGGCATGACTACTCATATGTATTCCTCCACCAGCCTCAACTAACAAGCGGCCAGAGGCACCCGAATGAGCCTCAAATTTGAACCGGTCAGTGAGCTTTGGAAAACGGATCTTACCGACAGCATCAGCGGTCAAAGTACGCTCCTTTCGAGCACATCTAACGGCGTAATACGCCAAAGGGGGATCCGGCGCATAAGAATAGCGTCGATTATCCGGTACACGACTATGAGACGATGAACCTAAGGGACGTGATGATGACGGCAACGACGATGAACCACCAGAGGAAAAAACCGGGGATAGTATCTTTACTCGATCATCTTGAAGTTTCTCAACACCGGATGGTAACCCTGCTAATTCCGCGGCAAGCCAAATTGGGGAAACACCCCACTAGGGACATCAGCATCAAGACCCCTAGTAGAACCTCCTCGGGACCGAACCTCCTGAGATCGTAAACGACTTCTCTGTCGACGAAGTCCACCCCTCCTAGTACGCAGATCCTGACAACGAGGGACTAAGAGACTAGGCGCAACATACCCATCGTGGAGCGCCTTGTTGAGGGTCGGATCAGCCTACAAGTTTCTCAAGCGAGTGATCCAACCCGGGAGTCTCTCCCGGGGAGAGACGAGCGAGGAGTAAATAACACCCAGCGCGGGTGGTCCACGACGCAACGTAAAGGGCAAGGAACACGCCCGCAGGGAATAGCTCGCCACGTGGCTTCTACATCTTTCCCGAACAAGTTCGACTAGTGGACAGTCAATGATGCAAGTATTACAAACAAACTTGACTTCATGAATTCAACTACAATCAAAGTCCAAGATAATAATCAATAACTAGGAATCCCGAAGGCCGCCTTCGTGACGAAGGGCGAAGCCCACTGAGTCCACGCCCATGGACTCAATCAATGAATTTTACATAGGTCTCCGGTTCGATCCCCGAGTAGGACATTTCTCCATCATTAAAGTTTTTCGTGCGTATCTCTTCGAGCTGCTCATAGTCGAGTTTACCGATTTTTTTGCAAGACCTCCGCATATAGAGGGGTTGTTTGACCTATCTGATAGCCTTCCACGCCTCGTAGACTACGAGTCGTAGTTAAGCCAGAATAATTCTACACGCACGCACAACGCGAAAGTGCCTGTTGTTGCGGTCTATGCTCTGCTCGCTTCGCTCGATCCGCAATTAGTTATGAAATAATAGTCAATAATCATAATTGAAGGCTCGCTTGTCAAAGTTTCTGACAGTCAAACGCACGCAGAAAAAGATGTAGATTTGGCCGACGTTCGCCACGAATCTCTCAGGAATCAGACGAGTTTGAAAAGTGAGTTTTGTAAACTAATTTTTAGATTCTACTATTAACATAAAACCTGGAGTTGGTGCGTCTGGAAGTGTTCGCTCGCGTTAAAATTATGTCTTTTGCCCGTACGATATGTACCTGAGCCGCCTTCCCCTCACTACGCGAGCGTTAAATGACATATGCTTCGGGATCTGTAAATTACAGACACTCCATCGCTATCAGCTTATGCTAGCCAGTTGATATAAGAGAGGGATTCTACTACTGAGCTCGTCCAACTCGCTTCCCAACACCACCACTGTTGAGCAACTAAGCATGATCTGACTTTGAACAACGTTCAATTTATTGGACACGGTCAGAGGAAGAACCATGTGTGATGGGACGTGCTTCGCTCCGCTGTGGCGCACTGTCCCTATTCTCTGTGCGATCCTTCACTGTGTGCTACCGTATCTGTGGGTCCCGCAACCGTTTTGCGGTATCTTAAGCTTTGGATATCGACCATACGTAACTGTCGTATAAGCTTTGTTCAAGCTTACTACGAGCTCTGTACAAGTACACTGTACACGTAGTCCACTCGTACTCTTATCCCCGTCGTCTATCGTAGTGTTCCTGCGGTAGTCATATTCTCTGGTTATCTCTATCTCGTACGGTCACCGCTCTGTACGTAGTTGGATATCTGGTTATAGCTTAGTCAGCTCAACTCCTCATACCCTAGGTGTGCTGGTTGTGTTCTTCTCATTAGTTGGGTCGGTTCACTCCTGCGACACATGCACTACTTTGCGCACGCCCGAAAATCATGTGCATACGTACTCCTCCATAGCTGACGACAGTTGTTCGGTTGTGACCTCCACCTCAAATGTTTCGTCGTCCCTCCCACCCTTCCAGACCACTTGTTGTTCAACAGACACACTTCCATGATGGGTGCTAAATCTGGGATGGACCACGCTCTCCGCTGAGCTCGTCCAACTCGCTTCTCAACACCCACCACTGTTGAGCAATTAAGCATGATCTGACTTTGACTATTAGAAAACATTTTATTGTTATTTATTCGGAATAACCTTGATTGCACGTGTTTGATAGGAGTCTATAATAGCAACGACAAGGTTGAGTATGTCTGTTGAGTATTGATCTGGCATATGGAATAACGCAACAAGTCTGCAAGGTTTGCAAACGTGCTTGGTAAGGTGGGGTATCAGGTTGGTTTGTGTTGGATACATTCGAAGTCGGATTTGTGTTAGACAGTAGCAGTATCTCTATAGAACTGTCGACTCGTTACCCTGCGTGTGTCTCTCACTATCAAATCGTTGCGTGACCATCGGAGTATTTCGGATCTGTATAGCAAAACCGTCAAACAACACAGAAGAGGTGACGCTCAACACCGAATCTTCCGCGTACTAATTAGAATTGTAAATAGCGGAGATTATTCTACGCGTGTAATGAAGTTTACTAATGTTGGATTTTATCGTAGTCAATGACTACTAGTCATCGTAATCGTCATTGCTTACTAATGCACCCTGGAGCATACTGGCTAGAGCACAGGGAATCATGATCAGTGGCGATATTCTTGCATTCAACTCAGAGCTCTCAGTGCGAAACTTACAGCTTGGAAAGATTGTTTTCATGCTGCAAACATGTGGCTGAGTAATACATTATGCCAGCTAACTCAGCTATTAGCTCAGCTGATCTGAGTTGAAGGGGTTAATAACCCGTGTTATCATATACCTGGGAGGAGGTGTCCATGATAGAGAAGCTCATTCGGTTTGGAAATAGGGAGAGGAAACCACCGCCATAGAGAGGTCTTGAAACTGGACGAGCTTCCATTTTCCACTACTTAGGGGCTAGAGTCCGTAGCCTAGAGACAATTCTATAGCTTCAAACGGTTTTTAGCCTGAAAATTCGCAGATTGTCAACCTGAGATTAGGAGTCCCCAGAACCCCTACAAGGAGGCGCGCGCCGCAGGTGGGCGAGAGAAATTATTTGGGAATTCCCACTATTACCGGGACTCCCCATTATTCCCGGGAATTCCCGGGAATGGGAAGAATGATCCATTCTTCCCACCTTTGGGCTACCCTGGCATTTTCCATCAAGACCGGTTATGGAACGAGTTGCCCGTTTCAGAAGTTCTGAACCAGAACTAGTCTATTGAGCGACTCGAGGCTCTAGAGTCGAGAGCCGATGCAACTGCAAATAGCTCACGCACCCGTCCCAGATCCGACCGAAAGTACTGTTGTTCGGTGATGGGGAACGTCGTTGCCGCAACGACCATAATGGCGGGGATTACACCGCCATGGACTGAACTCATTACAGTTAAGGTGTAGAGAAAATACTAAGTCCAGCAATCGGGTGATCGACTCTATCTAATAATGAGGTATGACCGAATCTATTTAATGATAAGAGTGGCCATACTACGGCCGGGATAGCTAGTCCCGAGCGAGAACCTGTGCCGTCGGTGCGACCCGTAGCGTACTGTTGAAAGAAGTACAGAATAAACTGGCCCGCGTTGTCGGGCCAAAATACACGACCCACGAGAATAATTTACGGCCTATTCATAGCTTATTCTGAAGCACCTTTGACTGCCTGTGCTAGATAATCTAACTCAGATACTATCTGACAGATAGCCAGCTGTGCAATTCCCACCTGACGTTTATTGGGCTGAAGCTCGATATAGTTCTCCACAAGCATAAGATCAGGGAATACCCAACGGTTTTCAGCCTCTCGTTTGAGGGTGAGATAACAAATGCCTTCATCGTTCCTTGAAATGCGTCATCTTAAGTGGGGCATCTCCCTTGGGACCCAGTCCAAATACCAAATTTGGCATGAAGTCAATGAACCTACAACGGAATGTCCAAATTTCCAGCGCGTCATCGAAGGTAAGCTCGACTTCGGTCTTCGCGGCCACGCTAGCTTGCGCGCCGATATCCGCTATAATATCATGATAGTAAAACTTGGACACAAATTGATTCCAGTGTTTAGTATAACAGGCTCATCGATGCCAGGACGTACATGCGCAGAGCCGACTTGCACGTTGTTGAGCTTCACCACATAAAGCCCTTCCCCTTAGAGAAGGGGCACGTAATGGAAAGGATGCTTGTAAGCTCCCTCGTCGCCACCACCCAGCAGCAACTAACCAGTGAACTGTGCTTCTCTGGAGGACTTTTCGGTCCTTCTAAATAGAGTGCGACAGTGCTGCCTCGCACTTATCTAGCAGATCGCAGTTGTTGCATCAGCGAAGGCAAGTCTTTTTTACCCGGTTCGGGTCCAAGACCACACAAGCTGATCGTAACATCCTCATCGGGACGGTCTTGATCAAATATCAATCCGAATGTCAGGTCGATCAAGTCGGCAGAGCCGAGGGATATTTTTCCTCTGTGCCGGAATACTTTACCTTTCACTCCATCTGTGAACCCAAATGACATCATCAGCTTGATAGGGGTACACGGCTTTGAGCAGCTATTGCATCCAAGTGGCCAATTGTGGCAACTTTCGCCGGTAGTCCACTCAACCAATCCTTCCAAACAAAGAAGAAATAATTGCTCCCAGTATCAACAACAGCATGCATAGACTGATGACGTTCGTCAACAGATGCATGGTAGAGCCCATATCCATATGGATGTAAAACATGATAGGCTATATCTAGCGTGATAACTTGTCCATTGGCCCTCGGCAGTACCATGAAGCACGATAGGAACAGCAGAACGATGCGACGATCCATTGAACGCTTGAAATATCTGGCTATTGTTGTTGTGACAACGCTAACTAACAGTTAGTTAGAACAATGTTGTCGCTGTTGCAAATCGCGTGAGGAACTAAACTTACTAGAGCATTCTGTCACTTCACGGAAGCTTTTAAGACTTCCTGCACACAACTTT